TTAATTTATAATGGATACCGCAATTTCTGTACAAAAATATTAAGAAAACGAAAACAGTAATATGAAAAAGAACAATTACATAATGCTAAAAACAATAATAAAAATCTATGGTCAGTAATACGGAAAAAGGATTACCAACATTAAAAAGCACAAACATACTGTAGCAGAATTATTTACTATAGATGTAGATTCTTTAATATCAGCTAATAAAGTCAACAACTTCTTTACAAACAGCGGAATGGTATTGGCTCAAACTTTATCAACAAATGTACAAAAACCAGTAACATGCAGGTAATCAACAAAAAGCCCCTGCTATTTCTTCGTGCTATTAGAGACCTTATATGAGGAACAAGACAGACTCATTATTAATGTAAGATCTGATTGTGCAACTGGTGCTAATGGTATTAATTCAAATGTATTAAAAATGGCTTGATCAGAATGATAAAAATGGATAGGTCAGAGCATATTATTGCCTGCTTTAGAAATGATATTTTTCAGATAATCTAAAAAACTCTGTTTTTTTACTAATTCACAAAGGAGGGGAGAGAAAAAATGTTGACAACTACAGCCAAATTTCTTCTTTACCAATTATTTCAAAATTATTGGAAAAGATAATAAATAACACATTGATAAATTATCTTCGAACAAATAAACTACTATCTAAGTCTAAATTTAGATTTAAAAAGAGTAGATCAGCTGAAGATGCAGTACACGAATTCACGGATATAATGGTTAAAAAAAAATATCCAAAATAAAAATGTCTGACAATATTTATAGATCTTAGGAAGGCATTTGATACTGTTTCTTTTCCCTACCTCCAAAATAAATAAGAACAAATAGGTATTAGAGGTAAAGAACTTGCTCTGTTTATAAACTACTTGCAAAACCGACCGCAATGTGTTGAAATTGGTGGCAATAGTAATAATGATAAAGTATGAAGTTCCACAGGACAGCGTCTTAGGTCTTACATTGTTTCTGTGCTATATAAATAAGTTACTTATTGGAAAATTCTATTACTTTCTAAAGTCATATTTATATAATTAAATAAATAGAATATTGTGCATATATACAACAAATAATAATGACTTTAAATGAGCTGTGCTTCAGTAGCCAAACATCTTAAATTATGGACAAACTGAAAAGCTATTAGAATTATAATGTATTATGAAATTAAAAACATAGGTACTGTTTCCTGAAATTATTAAAATTATTATTTACTTATATTAAAAACTAGGGAAAAACACACCCAGATACACACACAAGTTATATTTTTGTAATCGTAAAAAATAATTGTTTTAAGTTACGGTGTTCTTCGAGGGAGAGCCTTGTAACTAAAAAAGCTTAGTTTACTACTAAGCTCAGTGTAAGCTTCTAGTCTCCCACTACTTGTATTGGCAACTCTAAAATTGAAAAGTTTTTTCCTCTCAACTGTAACTTAAATTTAAATGTGGAAGATAAATAAATTATTTCCCAAAAACAGCTGACTCAGGGTTGAAAACACTCATTTTTTCAAAATTTAATTTTGTATCTCCGAAACTATTTGACCTAGACTTATATTTTTTTTTACATCATATTAAAGACAAATAGTACTCTCCAGGAACCTCGAGAGTGTCGGTCGTTCTGTTCCATAGAGTAAGGTAGAGTGGAAATATTTTCTATGGTTATATAAATATCATGCAATCTGAAGTTGACATCAAAAACATCATGTTGTCTTTTTTTAACTAATAAGAAGTTTCTTTAGTAAACAAAGATAACACTAGTGTGACAGTTCAAAATTTTTTACGTGACATCATGAGATATAGCTATCGTACCACCTGTCAGCCATTTGCAAATTTGCTTTGCGTATTCTCGGAAGTAGTTCAGCTGTCAGTGTTATAAGTTTTGTGGCTATTTTCATTTATAACTTTAATTTATATAACTTTCATTTATAACTTTCATTTCAGAAAATTGTAAATTATTTATGCAAAACAATGCCTAGGTGCTGTATAATTGGTTGTGCGTCATCAATATCCCGCAAACCGAGCAATATTACGTTTCACCGGTAAGTTAACCACTTTCTTGGAATAACAGTATTTAAAACGTAATTAAGTTATTCTGAAAATGATTGCGTGTATAAATCGATACATATCGTATTTTGGCGTGTTCTATTTATGCTATATTGCTCTTTTCGTTTATATTTTTATAATATTTCGGTCCGTAAATAATATTGTTTACATGGCTTGTGTCGTTACTTTAACATATGGTTTATATCGATAATTTTAATATTTAAAAATATATTAATTATTTTAGATTACCAAAAGATGAAACAAAAGAGGAAAATGGCCGAGTTACATAGAAGCAGAAAATATTAAATGTAATGAAAAAGTTACTTTTATCTGCTCACTTCATTTTAGGGAAAGTTGTTTGAATCGAACTTTAAATATAATAAAATTACGAGATGATGAATTGCCAATCAAATACTCTGGTAAGAATTTTTGACAATTGCTTTTAACTTATTTAAAAAAAAATGTCTATTACACTTAGTTAATTTTCATTTGATTTTACTGATTTATTTATTTAGTTTTTTATATAGTCATTTTGTTATTCTATAAATGTACCTTATTTTTAGTCTTGCGGTCATATGACGACTATTTTAATTGAAAAAATCAGAAAGCAATATATAATAATATTAAAATATAAAATTCTGATCATAATATACTCCCAGTAAAATATACAATAAAATGAGTTAAATAATTTTAATAAAAATTAAAATATGCACACTTGTCAAATTAAAGGCATAGTTAAAGGTTTTCTTTGCTGTTCAATAGTATAATCTTCAATACCCAAATAATTATTTTGCGGCGTGGATGTTTATTTTGCTGATGCATCATAAAATACGCTACCTTTTTGAATTTAAATTGCTGACCGTTATCATGATTGTTCACAGAACATGAATTGCAGACTGTTTTAGTGCTGAGAAAATATTTGTATGCTTGCCTATTGATTAATCGGCTGTTTTCTTTTTGCTAACCAAATTTTTAAATAAAATGCCAATTGTTACTTCTTTAATAATGTTACTGTTATGCCAATTGTTACTTATTCATCACCAACTTTGTTTTCTTTATTTTCTCTTGTTTATTCATCAAAGTTTACAGTATTTTTATGTTCTTTTACCAATAATATAATACAAAGATTATGTAGGTGTTTCAAGTTTTCTATGTTTACTACTAAACAAGATGTTCTGAACTAAAATTGTGACACAGTACGCACGGTATCTCACTTAATGAGGAGGAAGCGAAATTTATTCAGTCAAAACAATTTATTGAATAAATTTATAGACAAGTTGGCTTACTAGTTACAAGCATATAAGAAAGTCGAAACTCTGTGCTTATAGTTCAGCAATCTATTACGGGAAACCTTGTACCGAGAAAAGAAGAAACTGTAAGAAAGGAACCGGTAAGAAACTGCAAAGGCTGCTTTTGCACCCTGTTTAATTTCGTACTGAAAAATAAAAAATGACTTCATTGGACCAAAATGTCACTTTCCACCAAAACAATAAAAAATATATAACAGACAAAAAAAACCATAATAATTCATTCGTCAATCGACTTATGAAAAGCTTATTATAGTTACCGTGGTAGTTATCTTGGACAGTAGTCACACTTCCCGTGGATGCAAAATTAAACTTATGTTAAAAAAACTATTTAATTATAATTGCAAAATGTCAACTTGACAATATATATGGAAATAATTATAAAACACGATTGATATTATTGTAAAACTTTTAAGATATATATTTTGGTACTATAGTTCTTAAAACTATGTAAAATTGGCTATATTAGAGGAAAAAGAAACATATTTATCGAGGTACAATCATATTATAAAATTATATTATTAAATAATATAAATGTGAAAGTTTGTGAGGATGGATGTTGGTTACTCTCATGTAAAAACTACTGAACGGATTTTGATGAAATTAGGAATACGAATAATCTTTTACCCATGAGAAGCGCCATCATACGCTTGTAACATATGTTATATTTACTATAGTGACGCAGCGGAGTCGCAAGAACAAAGAACGCAAGAAATTTTAGATGTCCAACAAAATACGAGCAAAAGATTGCTTAATGATTTATAAATAATTGATAAATTCACGCCACTTTTAAAAAAATATTATTTTCTTGATACTGGCGTGAATTTTTTAATTTAATTAATAATAATCATAAATAGGATTGGTACGTAAGTGTGAAATGAATAGAAGTGTAATAGGTAATAGTTTAGCCATGCCCCTAACAATGAAAATTATATTATATTATTTAATAAGTAGTAGTATTGTAGCAGTTTCACGAAATACTAACTTTTATTTAATATGACTTCAATGTCGATACAAATATCGATATCTTGGGTCACGCCCTATGACAATCCGCCATCGAAGAATTTGCATTTGAAGTTTAGGCATATACGCTTTTTTCGTAGGTATGGCCGGTCCTCTTCTTTTATGTCTATGTTCTGTTCCACCAAGTATGTATATCTGACAGTTTTGTCATGCATGACAAACTCGAGAAACGCTTTGTCCCATAGAATTAATAAGTACTAGTCCACACTCACTTGTCAGTTTCTTGGGTCGAGAATGAGATATAGTATGTGCGCACCCGAGAAAAGTGACATTTGAGTGTAGACAAAACGTTCTCGAGTTCGGCATTCTTCGTGTGCTTGTGGGACGTGTTTCAAATCACGTGACACAAAGACAAAAAATCACGACTTTTAATTTTAAGATAATCGTGGTTGGTCTGTGAATAAAATTCGTGTGTCACTGGCCTTCAGCCGAAGGCCATGGAAGCCGGGGCCGGTAAAACTTAAAAAAAAAAAAGTGTTCCTGTGTACAGATTTGTCATAAATAAAGTTCAAAAAATTCAAAGATTAAGAAAAATCCAGGCAGGGCTGTATGGACCTAACATCCTTTGCCCTCTAACAAGGTGGGACAAATGAACCAAAAATAGTGTGACATTGACATTGGTATTGACACCCATTGACAAACTGCTATTATTCCATATTGTTTGAAAAACATGAACTTTTTCTTTATAGTAAACAAGCGAACATTCTTAATTGTTATAAAAGGAAGTATTAACAATGGAAAGTGAAAGTCTAGAAGAATATTCAGTTAATCAAATATCAAGCTCTAATGAACCGGCAAGAGATTTAAATACAAGTTTAGACACTGATGAATGCTCGTATCAATATCCTGATTTGTTTACCGGCAAAACTTTGTTGGAATTATGTAATTCATCTTGGTCTCGTTCCCAAAAGGCACAAGATGATATTCAACCTTATCTTCGAGGGTGTAAATGGTCTCCCGATGGTACATGCTGTCTATCAGTTGTAAATAATGACGGAATGCATGTGACAGAATTGCCTAGAGATTTATACTCTGGATGTCCTACACCGAACCGGACTATTGATATTTTGGAATCTGCTGTACACATGAAAGAAGCTGGTTTAGTCTATGATTTTTGTTGGTATCCGGGTATGAATAGTGGTATACCTGAAACTTGTTGGTAAGTTAATTTACTTGTTATTTGCTTAAGAACAAAACTATTTAAATAGATACTATAACCATGTTTTAAATTTCCAGCTGGCTTACAACTATACAGAATTCTCCTATACAAATGTGGGATGCATTTGATGGTTCATTAAGATGCACTTACAGAGGATTCAATGCTGTTGATGAAATGGAGCCTGCTTTGTCCTTAACATTTTCTCAAGAGGGCTCCAGAATCATAGCAGGATACAAGAAGGTTATAAGAACATTTGATGTTGATAGGTAAATTTATATTACAGGAATAAATTCATACTAATTATGCATTTGTATAAATGATTTACATATTTTTTATAATTGGATGTGTTTTCAATGTCAAATTCATCATATTAATAATTTAAAATGCTAAATAATAAATATACCTTACAGTTATTATGTTAATTTCTCCTAAAATGTAATAAATAAAAGAGGCACACAGTCACATCATCACATTAGTGAGCATTATTAAACTGTACTAGAGATTCAGATATGTGTTGTTTTAAGTTTATTTTTTCTGTCTTCATCCCATTGTTGTGTGGAAGAACTTGCTTTAAGAAATAGGGCTGTCTATTGTTACATAATTCCATAAAACTGTTTTAAATTTATTACTTGTGTAATATTAATAATAAATATTTTTCCATTCTATTCTATGATTACAATTGTGCTCTCTATGATTGCAGGCCTGGTAGAGATTTTGCTGAGCATAAGGTGACAAGTCCAGCTTCCTGTTTTGCCACTAACAGCAATTTACTTGCTGTTGGTTCTTGGAATACCACCATCAACTTGTATAATGTTAACGAGATGGGTACATATAAAAGCATCGGTAAAATGCATGGACATGCAGGTAAAAAGATGGAATTCTTATAGAACTGTGTGTGTGTGTGTGTGCCAGGGTTTTTAAGCATTTTTCATTAAGAATATTTCTTCAGTATAGCATTGTGAATGTAAAATCGATCAAAGATAATAAAACAGATTTTGTAAATTTTGATTTTGTAACAAACACGCTGGTCAAATGCTAATATTCCACTACTGTAAGAATTTACTAAAATTCTGCTTATGTAGTTCTAGATTTACAGCCTGTGTCACCCTCATGTGATCTAGCTTTCCATAGGTGAAAGAATTTTTAAAATCGGCTTAGTAGTTTCAGAACCTACTTGATGCAAACAAACAATCAAATTTCTAATATTAGAATAGATGTCATCTACGTATGAAGTGGCTTCCCTGTGAAAGAATTTTTAAAATGGTCCAGTAGTTTTGGGGCATATTCAATGCAAACAAACAAATAATCAAGTTTTGCTCTCTATAATATTTGTATTAAGCTAATGCATAAATGTGACAAGCACTAACAAAACTCAACTTGTCGGTTGATAGAAGTTACTGATAATTAACATATGGTTAACTAAGTCTATGAACATTCTTTGCTAACTTTACCTGCAAATTGTAGACCGAACATACTAGACGCTGCTTCATAAGACTTCACAATATCTTACTGTGAGTTTATCAATAAGTAATATTATTTTGTCTATAGGTGGAGTAACTCATATGAAATTCACACCGGATGGTATAAGACTCGTTTCTGGGGCACGAAAAGACCACAGGTTTCTCGTGTGGGACATAAGGTACTATAGGAGACCTTTGAATGTATTGACAAGGGCCATCAACACTAACCAAAGGATATATTTTGATATATCACCTTGTGGAAAATATTTGGTAACTGGAGGTACTGATGGAGTGTTGAAGGTTTGGGATGTAGACCGCGTCGATTGGAAAAACAGTTTAGATCCAAGTGAAGATGATGGTGATAATGTCACTTATAAGGTTTGTAAGTCTTTGTATCATTGTTAAGTATTACATAGGATCATCCATAAATTACGACTCTAACGGCGTTAGGGGATAGAGGTCAGGTAGGTCAACCACAATTTGAATTCACCTTTGGTCTTAATGGTTGGTAAGCCCTGATTTTAAGCTTAAGGTATATTTCCCCTGCATCACCAAAAATGGGGTATCTATTGTGATATCATATAACAATGGGTTTTTAAATTTCATGTTGTCACATAAAAAATAATCATTTTTCTAAGAAATACAACCACAGATTGCTACTTCTTAAAAAACTTAAAAATATTAGCAACTTAATCTGTATCCCCATAAGGTTCAATTATTTTGTTGTTGAGTTATATCATATCGCCCATGAAGAGTCAATAAATAATAACTGACATTTTGTCAATTTTTGTTTTATTGAATTATTCATTGTAAAATAGATTACTACACAATAGTGACAAAGATTTTGGGTTCGTTTCTTATTGTTTTGTAAGATAAACAATAATTGCAATGTTCTGAAAAAAACAATATAATAGATTTGAATCGTTTTTTTTGTCTCCTGAAAAGTTGCATTTTTGCAGTTATTATTTATTGACTATTGAATTTATTGATAGACGATATGTAGATGATAATTTCTTCTATTGTTGTAATAAAATGAATATTTTTTACTAATTATAAAAATGGGAAAGAATTATGAAGTTTAACTATAAACTTAATTAATAAATCATGTACCATTGTTTCAGTTCCCATTGCACAATGATTGCTGTAATAGTGTGTCTGTTCATCCATTGAGGCCTATATTAGCTACTGGGTCAGGACAGTATCACTTCAAAGATCCATTAGTAGCTTTAGAAGATGAATCCATACAGTTAAATGGGACACTAGATAATATAAATAATGGGACATTAGATAATATAAACAATGGGACAGATATAAGTGACAATGACCTACGATATTCACGTGAAGCAGAGAACAGTGTAGTATTTTGGTGGATTGGTGATATTTTGCAAGACAATACTTAATGTGAATTTAAAGTCTATAAAGTTAATAAAGTGATTGTTTAATCTAAGACATTGTTTATTCATTTGATATAACTGATTTAAATTTTCGGTAGTCAGAGAACATAACTAATATAAATTACTTTTAATTTTAAATTAAATTAATCATGCTCTAAAGGTCGTAACAGACGGTTAAGATGCTATAATATGATATCGATAACACACACAATATCTTTTTATTTATTTATTTATTTATGGTACACAAAACAGATTACAATTGATAAACTAATCACAATAACAATCGAACTAATATTATCGCCTGAATTGCAATCTACGAACTTGTGTACACTACATGCATTAAACTGAATCTCTCCATTCATATAAAACATTTAAATAACATATATTAAGTGACTTAAAGTTAAGAAGATAACGTTAAATTAATATTAGATAACAATTATACCAAAATCAGATTACATTAAATTAAATTTAGAGTTAAATTGAATTAAAATTAGTTAGGATTATGATTAATTAAAAAAAAAAAGAAAACTTTAATTACATTGAAATTAGCTCATCTTTAAGTTAAGAGGACATGTTGAATTTATTTTGAAGTTACTGATTATGCATAACTCAAATAAAGTAAATTACTGCACCAACTCAAAAAAAAAAAAAAAAAATCATTGATCAAATAACACCCGTTTTAAAGAATTCCGGAACCGACCAAAAGATAGGTGAAATATGTCGACGTCACCGTCAAGTGCAACCAACACATGCGGACCATTGGGTTATAGTATGAAATATTATTAGTGCAAACATGTAAAGCAAAAATTGCCTGACTGGCATCACGAGCCCTGAACCTCATTTTGAAATTCAGAAGTGCAAGAAGAGCTGAGGAATCTATATCACCATGTATCAACTGATGTAAATAAGAAACTTCAATAAATTTGCGTCGAAGTTCAAGACTAGGGAGATTAAACCTGTCAAGTCGGTTCATGTATGAAACAAGACTCCGTTTCAAACCCATACGGAAACAGAGCAAATTGATAATTTTTTTTTGTACTCCCTCAATACGTTGGTAATGAACCTTGTAAAAAGGATTCCAAACTATAGATCCATATTCAAGAGTACTTCTAACGAGCATAATGTAAAGGTAAACTAGACTCTGCGGTCTTTTGAAATCTTTCGTAAGTCGTGAGACGAATCCGAGCAGTTGGGTTGCCTTATTACAAACAATAATAATAATAATAATAAAATACTTTATTGCACTCAATATGATACATAGTTTACAAAAAAGCTTATTATCTAAGATATTGAGTAAACAAATGGCGGCCTTATTGCTAAACAGCAATTTCTTCCAGGCAACCTAAGGTGAAAATGGATAAAAAAGAAAGATACTATGGGGAGTGGGTGCAATATAGAGAAGGATAAATAAATAAATAGCGTTAATATGTTATATTAAACAAAAAAATAAATGTATACATATGAAATGAATTAAACAGTTTAATAGTGAAAGAATAATATGAAAATAGTTTTAAGATGTGGAAAGGAAATAATTTCTTACTTCATCGCTAAAGGATCCCAATGATCGAGCCCTCCTGATACCCTCTGGAAGAGAATTCCACAGACGCACAGCATGCACAGCAAAAGAATAAGAATAGAAATCTGTATAGTGACGAGGGATTTCGAGAGTGAGGTTTGAAGAGGAACGTAATGTACATTGTGATGAAGAGGAGCGAAAAGAGAATGATTGTTTAAGATATGGTGGAGATGATGGGAGGAAAAGTATAGAGTAAAGAACCGTGAGAGTATGCAAGTCCCTGCGTCGGCGAATAGGAAGCCAATTTAACTTTGAACGGTAATACGACACATGGTCATATTTTCGAAGATTGAAAATAAATCTAATGCATACATTCTGCAGACGCTCTAGTTTGGTGAGAAGTTCTTCTGAGAGATCTGTATAGCACACATCAGCGTAGTCGATAATAGACAACATTAGGGAATGTGCCAAAGTGATTTTGGTACTGATCGGCAAAAAATTACGCAGACGACTCAGTGAACCATACGCAGCAAACACCCTCTTTCTGACTGATTCCACCTGAGGCTTCCAAGAAAACTGTTGGTCAAAAATAACTCCAAGGTTTCTAACTGTTTCGGAATAAGGGATAACAGTACCGTCGAAAATGATAGATCATAATGTGCACGAAATGTAAGTCGATCATCAAAGATAACGCCCAGATCTCTAACACTAGTTTCACTTTTCAGAATAGAACCCATGATATTATAAGTAAATTTAACTTTGTTACACACGACCGAACGAAATAACAAAGCACTTATCAATATTAATAAACATACGATTACCACGACACCAAGCTGCAACAACGTCGAGGTCACGCTGTAGTGATTTAGTATCATCCATAGATGTTATCACCCCAAAAAGTTTTAAATCGTCAGCATAAAGCAAACAGTGGTTGGATACCTTATCAACAAGGTCATTAATAAATATGACAAATAAAAGAGGACCAAGATGTGAACCCTGCGGCACTCCCGAAGCGACAATACAGTTGTATATTAAGTACAGTTGTACAATACAGTTGCATCTTAGTTGTATATTAAGTATCTTTATTAATAATATTTTAATATTAACTATCTTAAGATGCCAAGCGATATGGAAATATATATTACGTTATCTTAAGATATGAAATGTATACTTCATAGATTATTATTACGCGTGTGATACCTTACGATGTTAAAATATGTTTTTTTACGATGCAGCATATTAACCGTCTGCTATGAGCTTTAATGGCAAGTCGCATAAACGTCCATTAGGATTTAATGACGTATTGGTAATGTCATTTTAAACTAAATATAAATTTATTTAACGGACGTTTGTGCAACTGGCTGTAAGAGTAACACTTTATTGAAGCGGACCGGAACCGTTTCATATCCAAATGACGTCAAATGAAGCAAAACAGAGTGGAGCAGTTCCGAGCTGTGAAGTGGGGATTAATACTACTACTTCCCACAATACAACTTCTGTCATCTACATTTTGAGAGTTTCGTATCTTAAAAAAAAAATCAAAGCCCATTATGATTATTCGTTTGTTATTTTAAGTCCTTGATGCAAAACAGTAGTGTAGCACTGTAATTTAAAAAAATATTCTTAAAAGGAAGGCGAAGTTTATAAAATTACGAAGAAAAAAGATTTTGCAAAATCTTCTTACATATTTGTCCGGTTTTGTACTATACTAATTTAATAAAAAGCTAATTTAAGAAACACAGGTTTTATTCTTGACCTTAAGTTGATAATTAAATTAGCGGCAAAACTCTCTGCCTTTTTTTAACAGCTGTCATTTGTGATATGTTTACAACTCTACAATATTATTAAATACTTTTTATAATAATAAATTTCAGATAAATAGTAAAATTCAAAAATAGGACGTATACGTAACTAATCGGACAGAAAGTATTGGAAACAAGGTTTCGTCTATTTTAGAAACGCTAATATGAATCAAAAGAAACCACTTTATCGTTATGATGCAGAAGAGATGGGATGCATAGATTATAAGGATATGAATTTTAAGAACAATTCGAAATTTCAGTTTCATTCGTGGACAGGTACCTGTCCACAGTAAATATTTTATGCCTCAATTTGTGCAGCTTTGATATTCCGTAAATAACCAACGTGCAAACTTTTGAATACATCATTGGTGGAAGACATTCACATCATAGAGCAGGTATGGGCAACCTTTTTGGACATGTTGTGGCCAAACTTTAGAGTGCAAAAACATTCGCGGGCTGCGTTTAAAAGTAGTACATTTTAAAGTAGTGTTGTATTGCTCATATTTTTTTTGGGATAGATATCAGACATGAAATATTACGACAATGTTATAATAATATTATAATAAAATGTTATAATATTATACGATATGGCCGCCTTTTGTGTACTCTGTATTGTTTAACCGTGTAATTTCGTTCTGTTTTCCAGTCTGTATGTGTGCAATAAAGATAATATTATTATTATTATTATGAATTAGGTTTTTCAAAATGTCTCGCAGGCCATGCACGGCCCGCGGGCCGGCTGTTGCCCAACTGATACGAAAAGATACAAACTATTTGAGACTAATGGTTTAATTCAACTTAAAACAAACTAACGATACATTTTATATGGAAAAATATAATAAGCTAATTATTACGCTGTCATAAACAACAATGAATATATCTAGTATTTTATAGAATAGTAACATATACACTCTCTTAGAAATAATAATCTATGAATATACTAATATACCTCACCCATCGTGTTCATAGAGGTCGGTTAGGTAACACCTTTATTACTTGACCTTTGGAAGTAGTTTTATTCTTTGATTGAAGTCTTATTTGAATGAACCTCTTGTGTGATAACGTTGTCCTCGAAGTTGAGCTCAACGCGATTTTTTTTTCACAGATATGCAAAGTCTATACGTTGATAATTTGTTGATAAGTCGCCTTTTATTAACCGACTTGAAATTCGAAAAAAGGAGGTTATATGTATTTTTTTTTCCAAATGTCGCTGCGATGTTTTTTTTTCTTTTTCTCCATCTAAGGGTCACCTTTATTCTACTTCTATACCTAAACGTTCGCCAAAGCGTTGTAACAGAGGATAGTTTTATTTGTATACTTATCTTTCTTAGTTTTACTTCTATTTACATAATGAAACCGCCGCCGGCCTACTTTAAGTTCGGGTCGTTGAGTAAGTTCAAACGGTGTCGCCTGTTGCTAATTTAATACGTAGTTGTTTAAATTCGTTAGGCACCCTCCTAGGAGAGCTTTAAGGCAAAATTGGCGAGTTATATACCCACATAGTAGTCGGTAAAGAGGGCTAATAGGTAATTCGGTTTTGCCTTAAATTGGAACTAACTAACCTTTTAATGGCGCATCTGTCATTTGATCACGATATATTGTACTAAATATATTTGACTGTTATTATTTTAAAGAATACTAGCTGACCCAGCAATTGTTGTTTTGCCTTATAATTTTGGTATGGACCACCCTTATGAATAAGTGGTATAAAAGTAGTTAATACCGTATTCTC